AATTAATGCATTTAATTCTTAGAGGACATGATCTAGGGCTTACCAACACTCTTGCCCCAGCAAACTTTGTCATACTCTTCAAAGGTAAAAGCAGTATGTAGCATGTAAGCAAGGCCTTGCACATCTTTGAGATCTAATACAGGTAGTCCCCGGGTTAAGAACACCCGGTTTAAGGACAGCCCATAGTTAAGAACAAAGCCTACTGTAGCAAAATTTGAGTTAAATACACAATGGTTCGAGTTAAATACACAATGGTTCAAGTTCATTACACAATACTACTTATATAGTATTAATAATACTGTTCTGGCTTACATACAAATTCAACTTAAGGACAGACCTTGGAACAGAACTCGTTCTTAAACTGGGGACTACCTGTATATAAGCAAATAAACTGTGAAGTATGATAATATAGCATAAGCAGATGTAAAGAGTAACTGAACCTACAGGTAGTCCTCACTTAATAACCATTTGTTTAGTGACCATTCAAAGTTACAATGGTGCTGAACAAAGGGACTTACAACCGTCCTTGCACTTACAACTGTTGCAGCACCCCCCATGATCACAATCCAGGCACTTGGCAACCAGCTTGCACTTACGACAGTTGCAGTGTTCCAGGGTCATGTGATCACCATTTGAGACCTTCCCAGCTGGCTTCTGGCAAGCAAAATCAATGGGGAACTGCATGATTCACTTAACAACCATGCAGTTCGCTTAATGACTGTGGTGATTCACTTAATGACCGCTGCAAAAAAGGTTGTATAATCGGGAGTGACTCCCTTAACAACCACCCCGCTTAACAAAGAATTTTCCAGTCCCTATTGTGGTCATTAAGCAAGGACTACCTGTAGTGTTAATTCATGTGAAAGACCAAAAGGCTTGTATTATTAAATGATGTAATTTCTGCTGATGGAGAGCTTCTTAGGGAAAGTCCATTGCCATCACTGTCAAATCATTAAGTGTATATAAAATGAGGTAAATCAGAGGTAACTGGTTGAAGAGACAGCTCATTTCATCATATTAACAAATTCTGATCCAGTCACTGACAATCTGAAAGCCTAGGTAGAGATTTCCCTGCTTATCCTTCCTTTGTAATGAAAAAACAGGCTATAGAAAATTATGATATTCTTCATTTTTTCATGTTGGAATCTTTAAGGAAAGGTATTGGGTGGTTATCTTGTATACCCAAGCAATATTCATTTCATTAACTTATCTTAAAATATACCACAACATTGTTCCTGTGGGCAAGTGTATGTCTATGTCTATGTGGACGTGTATCCACTTTGAGGCAGTGTCCCAATTCAAAAAAGCAAGGAACTCTGTCTTGATGCCTCAGTTGAACTGTTTCATTTCCACCAGCCTTTTGTTCACTGCAGATGCTGATGAAAGTGCCTGCCCAGGAGGCAATGGGAAGGCAGCGAAGCAGCTGCTTTGATGAGGTTCAACCATCATGCCGAGCCTTTCATAGCAAATGCAATTAGTGTTTTACTTTTCAAACCAGGCTCACAAGGATGCTTTAATCAAGGTTTCATGGGTGCAAAGCACCTTTTAAGGCTTTGCACAGTCTGTATACCCTGCCTTTATAACTTCTGAATATCCTTTTAATCATATTTAATATAATTTAGCTTCTGATTATTCAGTTTTGAGAAATGACCATCTATTATATTTCTTATTTTTTTTATCCATGTCTGAAAATGCTTGAAAAATTATATAAACATCTGGTGATACCATGCATGCATTTTTGCCATGAACATATTACTTGTATATATGTAATTTAAGAAGGTTACTATTGGGAATTGGATGAAACAATAGAAAAATTCTGTTCTGATTTATAATGACTGACATTCTCATCCAGATAAACTGCATAAGAATGATACAAATCAGTGTCTATAGAAACATTGCAACTTCTTTCTGATTTATGCTAATCCAGGCCAGTATTTTAATTGGACTAGACTTAAATTGAATTCAATCAATATTTTTAATTTAATCATTGACCAGGATAAGGTAAAACATATAAACAATAAAATTAATGTTTATAACATTAAAAGCAGCTATGCCTCAAATAAGCAAAACAATAATTATAAAATTAGAGGAAGGACATAGGAATTATGAAATAACTATGAAACTAAGATCTTCAAATTGCTATAGGATTAATTATAATCTAAAATGAAATTGAAATGAAACAATGAATATGTACTTAATAAAAGTGATAAGATAAAATATAAAAACATAATATGCTGTCTAAAAAAACTAAAAGGCTAAGTTCTAGTAATAAAATCTATAGTATTGAATAGCTAAGACTATAAATAGTACATGAACGTAATTTATATTGAACCAGGTTAACTCTTGCCAGTGGTCAGATTCTGCTGAATATTGCACAGAACAATGCAGGACTCAGCAACATTATATATTCTAAAAGAGTTGCTATCAGAAAGTAAGAAGGAAACATAATATTGATCTGTATGTCTTGGTGCCTTAGAAAGTAAAGGAAGAATAAAGGTCCTACAAATACCTCTATAGAGGAGGTAATGAAGGACCTGCTCATTGGATTCCATTTGCCCCATCAAGGATCTTCCTGTATCTTCTACCTAATATGACCAAAAGGGTGGTGTTGCTACAGCAAGCCAAAGGAAAGGCCTATCTTTGTCTAGGGACTTCTAGCTGCCAGATTAAATGTAGTTAATATTTTTATTTTATATGCTGACAGTGCTCTACTTAAAAGAAAAAACAAACCACTAGTAATGCACATTCATCCTCATTTGCAAGGCTCATCTCTTATATGGGCTCTTTCTCTATCCTTGTAATTAATTTTATGTTGAATTTTGAAAAGTAACATTTCCATGATTAAATATGTAAACCAGCTGTCAGTTATATACACTATAACTATAATAAATAGATTCAAAAAAGTAATACCAAGTCTCATGAGATGGCATTTTCCCCAAACATTTCAAAAGCATAGTCTGTATGGAGTATGAAGATTGACATGGTTCCAGTGTTCAAGATCTAATGGTGGAACAAGATTAAGATCGTACAGTCATCATCTGACCTACCATCCACATGCTTGGCTGCTTCTCAGAGCCTCGTCCAGTGGAATAATGTATGATTGAATGAGCCTGACATAAGCATGATAATTAGCATATCAGCAGTCACACTGGGAAGACTGTGCCGGGAATTCCATCTGTTGAAATCTAAAGTCGGAAGCTGAGTCAAGATAGCAGAACATAATATCTGATTGAATGGCATCTGATTGATGACATGTCAAGCAGTAGAAAAGATTTTAAACAAAATGTCATGAAGAATTTGAAGAGGTTGTCTCTTACATTGGCAAGATTATCGAACAGCTTAAAAGATTACATACACAGTAGAGAGGACCTAAGGCCAAACCAGTTCCATCTTTGCAGCTTAATATCAAAACCACTCATTCTACTGAGCTATCTTGATTTAGTTTGCCACATTTATATGAGTGGAATTGAATGTTGTATGATAAACATAAAGATGGTTGGTGAAATCCAAGAATTTCTTCCACTAACAAAAACTAAATTATTGGGAAGGTGTACCCCCACACCCAAGTTCAGCATTTGAAATAAAGCCACAGGTATTCTACAAGGATGGGGGAGACATAGTAACTGAGGGTAGACAAAGTGATTGAGCCAGAGTCTCCTAATAGAGAAGAGTGGTATCAGGTAGAAAGAGGAATAAAGTTCTAAGTGAGCTCTGCAAGGCTTTATTGCCAAAAGGAGTAGACTCTTCAAGAATAGCAGGTGCTGGAAGGAACAAGAGACACATAAGATGTTTCCTGATCTACTCAAGGAATAATTGGGTAAAATCTCACAGGTTTTTTATTTTTTGCTTCATGCTAACATTTTCCTTCCATTTATCAAAAGTACAGACTGCCAATTTATGGCCTGCTCACCAGGGTAAATGGGTAAATGGTCCTCAAAATGTTCTGCAGATGTATCTCTCAGTAGGTCCTTCAGACATGTTCTTACTCCTTGATTTGACATTGTGTTACATTCAGATTTTGTGCTTGCTTTTTCATGGGTTATTAGGGAACCTCTTTTCTAAGATTAACTTTCAATCCTGGTGTCAGAATTTTGTCTTGTGTTAAAATTCCTCAAATCCAGTTGTGCTCCTTTCTTCTTGGATGTTCAGGGTGGTATTATGTTATTCTAATCAAAAATGACATTTCTGTATTTGAACTCACCAGGTAGTCTACCATTTGTAATCACAGCTTTATTCTCTACAACAAGAATAATATAAGGAATGTATAAAAAATCTACCTGTCTTGAAAGAGGTAGTTCTTTGATGGCTCCTCAGAAAAATGTGCCAAAAATGGATTGTAAATATCACATCCCTTCCTAATGGAGAAGTTATGTTTCTAAGTCAAATCAAATTATAGTTTCAATATTCATAACTTTCTGAAATTAATGATGCAGTTCTCCAATCATATGATGTACAACAATGCCTATATTAGAGAAAATAACATTATAAATGTATTATCTTCAGGAAAATTGCTTGCAAACATATGCATATTAGGGAAAACTGTTTTCATCAATAGGAGACAGAAGCTTGATAATGGGTTACAGTTTTCATGCCAACTTAAAACTGGAAATTGAAAAGACATGATGCAAAGCTAAGTTGAAAAAAAAATGAGGAACTGATGAAGCTGAGCAGATGCATCCATTCCTTGATACCTCATCTTGACTCCTGTCATCCCACCATATTGGAAATGATGGAAAGTCTACCTGATCTGTCTTCTGCTTTCTTCTTTCAGAATGTCTACTATACAGGTAACCAACAGATACATGTGGGTGTTCTTAGTCCTACCATTGATGATGATGACAACAGATGCCTGGTCGATGTGAACAGTAGGCCGAGACTTATTGAATGTAGTTATGCCAAAGCCAAAAGGATGAAGCTTTATTGGCAATTTACTCAGGTATTTTTTTTTCTCTCCTCCCTCTTCTCTCCCTCCCTCCTAAAAAAACTCAACATGGATAAAAAGTTTAAGGAAAATGGTTCTTGGGGTTCTTTACAACTGTTGGTGAAAGATGGTTTAGGTCATAAAGCTCAGTATAACAAAAAGTGGTTGTGGTGATGTTTTTTGCAAACTTTCAAAATGTGACAGTCTGGATGAACAGGAACCCACCCTGGATGACAGGGAAAGTGAGACCATGCTTCCAGACCCATTTTTGCACTGCACCCTAACTGTCTAAGTCCAGCAAAGAAAGAAGTAAAGCAGGAAGCATGCTCTCTGTATCTCCAGGCTCCCCAGACTGCATCTAGGTTCCTCAAGTGATTGAAAACCCTGGGCAAACAAGGAGCTGATCATGGGGGAAGCCTACCCTGACAGAACAGTTTCCTTACTTCAGATGCTGTGTGGAAGGTACAACACTGGTGCAACAGAGGGAGGTAGGACCAATGAAGAAGGAGACTTTCAAACTAAATTGTAGATGATGGGTAAACATTTGTACTGTATCATTTCAGATTGCAAGGAAGGCCTAACAAGAGAGAATACTCCCAAATGAAGGAAGGTTTGCACCACAGGTGGGGAGGAAGGGTAGAGATCTGATCTGAACATGCTGGACACGGCACCTTCCTTTTGAATTCTTATCAATGTTTTTACAATAAGGTGGATTATGTGAAGTATCACTACAGATTAAAAGAAATGTCTGGAAGCTCTCCATCTTCCTAATATTCACAGACAAAAGCCCTGAAGAGAACATGAAGCTCCTTCCTTTGTGTCCTAGTGATAAATTAAAAGGCAGCAGAATAATTGAAGTCATGCTGTTCAGAAAGGATTGTTTTGCTAATACGCAGGGTAATTAAAATATTGTTGTTTCCAAACATACAATGGGATGCAAAATGGGTTTGCATGCTGCAAGCTGCAAGAAAACTAATGAGAGTAATCCAAGAGTCAGAAGGAAATGTGTACATAGTGCTTTTGTTTGGTCTAGGAAAAGGAATACGTCTTTCTGAAAAAGGGGAAAATCTCTTTTTACGTCCCCAGCCCTCCAGCGATCATTCTGGGTGAGGGGAGGAGAAAAGAGGAGGAGAAATGCATGTTGTGTTTGCAGATGACCAGCAGTATGATATTGGATGCCACCCACAGATTTTTTTTCATTCATTCATTCATTCATTCATTCATTCATTCACTCACTCACTCACTCACTCACTCACTCACTCACTCATTCACTTTTGTGCTGCTGTTTTAGACAATATACTCCTTTTTATTGAAAGCAAAATTTATTATAACTGATACATTCTCCAGCAAAATTAAGATTTCAGCT